GCCCCCGCCCCCGCCCGACACGTCCCAACATGACCCCGCGCCTTTCTCCGACCTGTCAAACAGAGTCAACAATCATTTGAATATATTTTTAATAAATATAGGTTGAGTGACTGAAATAACGAACGACACTTAGGGGAAAACTCAACTTATATTGAATTAATTACATTCGGAGTGCAATAAACGGAATAAGACAGAACTTGCATGAATATAACAAAGATAAACGTTAGCGTTACTGATTTAACTGTGAATTAGTCGGCGCGCGGCTCGACCGCGCGTGCGCTCGGTTTAATAGATTTCGCGTCATTGACTAGAGTTGCGGCGCGGGCGCGGACTCGTGCCGAGCGTCGAGCTAGAGATGGGGTGTGCAACGAAACATTGGTCTTACTAATGCGCGCTATATAAACAATTTTTTTAACCAATGTTAAATTCCGAAGTCAATAGTTATGTCATAGGCGAATGGAACCAATAAAACGTAGACGCTTCGCGGAGACAAGAAATCTTAGAATAAAAGAACAAAAACACTTCGAAAACTGCACTAGTAGCGTCGGAAATCAAAAACACTTCACATTCTATCCGTTCAGTAATTAAAATTAAAATCTGCCTTTACAAATCTTTTCCACTTACCGATTAGATAAGCAGGTACCATCAACTTCAGACTTAATGCTGTCGTTCCGATCCTCGCTGTCCAAACTCTCTCGGCCCGACGGTACTACGAACGCTATCTCATTCGTCGAGTCTGACCAGTAGAGCACCTGACAACACAAGTGGTATCTGTATAAGTGCTAAGTTTAATATACAACTAATATTAACAAGTAGATAAAAAATAACATATGACTTAGTCAAAATACTTATACGGCTTACTCAAGCAAACTATTCGAGTACAGCTCAATTAATTTCGAGTCATACTGGGACTCATAATCATCAATCAGTATGTAGCCAAAAATATTTTGTAATACTGAAATTATATGTACATGACATGTGATTAAGGGTTGTTTAAATAACAACTCCACACGTACCTGTTCCCTGGCGTCGTACATGGCGGGCGCGGGCTCAGTGGGCGGCACAGGGTCCGTGTGAGTGCGCGCGTCGTAGCTCGTGTCCACGTGGCCCGCCCAGCCCGGGTGGCCGCGGACTTGGACCGGGCTGCCTAGACTACGAGGGGGGTAAAGGACATTATACTATTAAAACAGAGTAACTATACAGTTTCTTTACTTGTTTGTTATTTTTAATAGAAATCTACAACTTTAACAATAAACATTAAAATTAAATTCTTTTTAATTAATTTCTCGATCGCCATAATTTAGCTACAGTAGAAATAATTTATTTTTGATCAAGGAAAATACCCAATAGTGAGAGTGAATAAAAAGCTTTAATAAAGGCCGAAATGAGCAACCAATTTTTTGTATGAAGTTTCTTTCTAAAATCTAAATCCAGTAGTCAGAGATGTTGGATAACATCAGTTAAATTATCTTCGGTAGCTATCTACAGACTTTTTTTAACTTGCCTTTATCCTTTATTGCCTTTATCCTTTCACTTAGATTTTAACATAACAAAAGTCTATAGTGCGTTAGAATAGACCATTGATCAAGACGTTAAAGTTCAAAGTTAAGTAAAGCATGCGTCGTTACCCCTGCAGCATGCGCAGGAAGGCGGGCGGCACGGCGGCGCGACTGCGCGCGTTGGCGACGATGTGCGGCGCGGCGCGCTGGCCGGCGCGCGCGCAGAACACGTGCACGGTGACGCAGGCGCGCGCGCCGCACGCGTCCAGCCGCCGCAGCGCGCCCGCGAACCCGGCCGCCGCGTCGTCCAGCGCCACCAGGCGGCCCGGGGCCGGCTGCATCGACGTCATTACGTGTCACTCAAACGATGGCTTTGATCCACTTGTTATATAACTTCAATACAACTTAGGTAACTATTTTCGCTTCAGTTTTAGGCCTGTAATGTTTTTACCTTTCGGGGCATTGAGATGAAGCTGGAAGACAAAGTCGAGTCCCTTCTAGATCTTACAATATTTATACCATACTGTTATCTTATCATCCCTTAATATCCACATTTAAGTCAAATCACAAAGCTTTTTCGTCATGTATAGAGGTTATTATAATGCGATGCGAAAATTAATTGATAACACTAAATTTTTTGTCAAAATAAAAATACCTTTTTATCGCCTCCAATGTTCAAATATCCGAAATGTGACAAAAACAGCCTCGCTGTCTGGAACTCTGTCACCGGCTCCGGTGGAATGTACTCTTCTGGTACCTGAAATAAAGCAAAAACATCCGTATAAAATTCTGTAAACAACAAATGACCTGTCTTATGTACTTGAAGCTAAAAAGCTTCGATCAACAATAGCAACTAGATAAAGGGTTACGTACAAAATCAAGCTCCAGTTCTGTCCGTGTGAATAATAATAATAAAAAAATAACAAACAGAGAAAAATGTTTCAAAATAGTTTTAAGTTCAACCTAATAACAACCATGGGACCTAATAATATAGTCATAAATCGTCAAAATATTATCTAATACTTACGACCATTCGTCACATAAGACGAGAAAAGTATTAAGTAAAACTCCTGTCATGTAGAAATTAAAAGACATAAGTTATACAATATCTAGTTTGAATACAACCTTAAGCTTGAACAAATAAAGATATTTTTTCCATTATTGTCTTGCGATCGTTTTGTTTTGTTTCGTTTTGCTTCTTCAAATTTCGAATTTCGCTATAGGAGGTATGTATGGAGTCGCGTTGGACACTAAAATAATTTTATAATATGTAAATTAAGATTTCGGGATCTTAGTATACATCACTTATTTTTATTATCGGTACGTTTTTGTGTATGATATGTTTATTTACTTTATCATTAAAAGTCTAAGTCTAAGTCAAAATAATTTATTTCAGTTAGACCAGGTGGCTTACTCTTGAATCCAATTCCGATCGATCGACATTGGTATTGTAAAATTTCGTACTCTTGAGTTGCAACACTAGCGCCAGTTGCATTTGTATTGCGTGGATATTATATGAACTAAATGGTATTGAGTTTGGCTTTATATTCCGTATTCTAAATGCTACTTTAACACCTACGATTGGGGTTGTATAGTTTTGACATTGGGTAATTATTGAGATTTTATTGGATTGAAATTGCATTGACATTGAGATTGGTTTCAAGAGTAAGCACCCTGGAAGGCACTTTTGAACGTCAACAATATAAAGGAGAATGCCCATGGACAGTACTCTTGATAAATTACTTGTGTCTCAAAATCTCTAACGGCATGAAACATCTAAAATAAAAATATATTTTTAAACAGACTTTGAATGATATTTACATTGGGATAGTTTTTTGAAAATTAATTAGTATTTTTATGTTTCCGAAGTTATAGTACGCCATTTATAGGTATGTCTGTGCCGACACA